TAGGGTGGGGATGATACACAAACCTTTTTATTGGCAATATGAGAAGAGGAGTTGAAGTCATCTCTTCAGCAAGTAGCTAGGAAAGTTATGTTGTGAAATCAAATGTTGACAATAAAGTGAAATTAATGAAAAGAACGATAAAAATGCAATCTAAACAATTATACAACACAGAATTTATGTGGTTCGGCAATTGCCTACGTCCACGAAGTTACAGAGTTTTTACTATTTTTAATAAAGAATACAGAGAGGGCGTAGGCCGTATAGAATTCAAAACTCTAATCACCGAATAACAGTTTATATATGTTCTGGGCATAGGGTTAGAAAATGGGCCAAACCCCCGGACCCCCACGAGGCTTGCCCATGAGCGCTACGGCTTGGGCCGCCTCAGAAAATTTTCTATTAAAAAACTACGCAACATTATTTTGGGTCAAGTCATCATCCGGATCAAATACAAACTAGACTCCACAAAAAAATCCAAGTTATTGCGACTCTCCCGAGCAGAAAAATGTTTGCTTGGTTTTATGCTCTAAAAATTAGTAGGGATTGATTTATGCTCGCTAAAGTTAGGATGCTAACAAGAGCCACAAATGGGGGGCACGTTTATACATGGAAATTAGACTAGGACAATGCTTCGTTTTGTACCATATTTCTCATAGTTAAGTAATAGGCTAGACTTTTTCGTAGCATTGTTCCAATGTGAACTCAACGTCATGGGTTTGAGTTGTGAAAATAGTCACTACACAAGTAGACACAAAACTATGTATATCTGACTTTCTCCAGACTCTGCAGTAACAGAAGTTCTTTGCATTGGTCATCCTTTTTTATTTCTTGCAGTTAAGTGGTTAAGCAACACTCTCATCATGATGTATCACCTCTCAAGTCATGTAAATTGTGTGAGGACAAGATTTTAAATTGTTGACTGTTAGGATTATTACCGGATGTTTTCAAGTTTGTTTGTTGCTTTTGAAAGTTGTAACAGCACTATCTTTAGAATTTATAGTGAAAGAGGTACAATATAGAAATTATCATGTTTTTGGGGTCAAAATACGTGTTAAGATCGATTCTAGAAATTAGGATTGATCCTAATAATTTTATTTTGTTGTAACTTGATATAAAAAGTAATAATTTTGTGATGCAGGATGCTGTTATTGGCTCTTCTTTTTCGGAATTTTTGCATATTCAAGTTTCCAGTCATGTGGTGAACAAAATTATTTGGGTAAAATGGATGGGGCTGCCAAGAATAATCCTGGCATAGCAGGTGGTGGTGCTGTGTTGAGGAATGAGTTTGGGGGATTGGTATTAGCTGCTTGTTTCTTTTATGATGAGTGCTCGAATGTGGCTGCTGAATTTAAAGCTTTGCTGAATGGCCTGCAGTTAGTTCAGAAGTATGGACTGTTTGTGTATTAGCTAATAATTGAATGTGACTCTTTAATTATTGTGAATGCAGTTTTGAGTCTTTGTGAGTGTCCATGAATTTTCTTGGAAATATTGAGGAAGATTAAGCAGCTGTTAACTGGTGTGGAATTCCAATTAAGGCATACTTTTAGAGAAGCTAATGCTGTCACTGACAGATTAGAAAATGATGTAGTTAAGTGCAGAAGATCTTTTGATTTTTATGGAGATTTTCAGCTGCCTTGCGAGGTGAAGATGGCTTTGCGAAGTGATTTGGGAGGATTGCCTGAGTTGAGAAAGAAAGGAATTGTGATTTTTGATGATATGGGCTAATTGGGCTTATGAGTGTTAGATTGGGGCTTTTTGTCTCAATCTATCTACTATGTTGGTATGATTGGTTGTTGTCTTAACTGAAGTGCTGGTTTTGTTTGAAACAGACTTGAGGCATAAGTCTGGAATGGGAAATGCTACTGCTGTCTTGGTAGGTTTTAACGAACTTTGTGCTGTTAAAGTTTTTTGGAGGGTGCTGCTGAGTCTTTTTTGACTGGTTTCTTTGGACTTTTGTTTTTTTCTTGTTATGGAAGGCGTCTGTGGCTTACTTTTTGCTTCTGGTAATGGTTTGGCATTTGTGAATAAATAAAATTTTATTTTTGTTTAAAAAAAAAAATTTAACTTAAGCCAAAAAAAGTGTAAATTTTCTTCAATTCCGAAAAATTTTAGTGACAGCTTGAGCTGTTAACATTGAGAATAAAGATTTGACTCCAAGATTAGTTGTCTTTGAAAATCAAAAATAATCCACTGAGTTATGGCCAAGGGTGTGAACTTTTAGCAGCATTGAAACCACAGTTCGACTAGAGGGAGCCATGGCCCCTTGAGTTTTCAAAAATTCATTTTTGACCTTTTTATTCTTTTCATAATTTTAAATATATTATTAAGTTATCCCTTTTAGATATGGATCTATTCAATACTTCCTCCCAATCTTATGTTATGATGGTGTTAAAAATCGATAAATGTGAGAAATGAGAGTTGAAGACCTCCTCTGTGTAATCTATGGATATCTGCTTGTGAGATTACAATCTTTTTGTAACCCATTGTTATATTCCTCTAAATGTGACTTGACATTTTAGAAATTGATGACGTGACACTAGTGATTTATCCCTCGACAAGGTCTGATACCGTAATTTTCTTTTTGTCCCTTCTCAAGTTTTAGTCTAAGCTACTTCAGGTAAGTCGAACTTGTTTAGGAATTGCTGAACTAGTTCTAGCCATAACCAAGACTCAAGGTTTAGAACTGACCTGAACTCTTCTCAGCATTAGATCATTCATTCTGTTCTTTAGGTCAATAATTCTCCTACTTATGTAAATTTGTTTTCTATGATGATTTTAGTCTTTGTATCATTATATTATTATTTTTGGAGAATTACTCCTAGACCCCCTAAGGCTTGTCACATAATCACCTAGATTCTTTGATATTTAAAATATTACATGCAGACCTCCTAAGGTTTGTACGCCTGTAACACTTAAACCCTTGTTATAAATATATCCGTTAATAAATTATATTTAGACTCCCCTAAATTTTGTGTGTATATAATACTTAGACCTTAAATTTAAAATATTATACTTAGACCAAAAATACTCCAATCAAATATAAAATATAAAATATTTTAAATTTTACAACCAAAATTCATATTCTATTGTATCATTTATTGAAATAAAATCAAAAATAAAAATTCAAGTTTTTCTTAAAAAATTGTAATTGGTATACAATTATATTGTTTATGAGAATTTAATTTAGTCGTTTAAACGATCAAATTAAAATATCAAACTACCCCAATTAAATATAAAAGATATTGAATCCATTACAGTTTGATTCCTTGTTTAATTTTTTAATTTTATTCTAATAGTCAGTATAAATATATACTAACTATGTTTTTTTTTTAAGTTTTAATAAATGACATAATAGAACATAAATTTTGGATGTAAAATTCATATTCTATTATGAATGACTTAGGCCTATTGCTTGATTTTTTAGTTTTATTCCAATAGATAGTATAATTGTATACTAATTACGATTTTTTTAAGGAAATATTAAATATTAAATATTTAATTTTATTTCAATAAATGATACAATAGAACATAAATTTTGGTTGTAAAATTTAAAATATTTTATATTTTATATTTGATTGAAGGATTTTTGGTCTAAGTATAATATTTTAAACTTAAAAGGTCTAAGTATTATATATCCACAAACTTTAGGGAGCCTAAGTGTAATTTATTAACGAATATATTTACAACAGGGGTCTAAGTATTACGCATGTACAAACTTTAGGGAGTCTGTGAGTAATATTTCAAATGTCAAGAAGTCTGAGTGATTAAGTGACAAATTTTAGAGGATCTGGGTGTAATTCTCCCTATTATTTGTGTTACAATCTTGATTCACCCATGGTTTTGCGTTCCCTACTTCGCCCTTGGTTTTCAAATATTCCCACTAAAAGATCAGCATCTCAAGTTAAAATTTTGGACTCAAATAATTGGTCAAAAGACATACATACCTTTCTACATTTCCAATTTTGCTTCTATTTATTGTTCACTCCCAATATGGAGACTATCCATACCTTTCTACATAGTGTCCGAGTGTGACAAAAATCACAAAATTATAAATAATACTATGTACAATCTAATATTCTTAGGCTCCATACTACCTTCTGAATTCATTGTTAGACATTAATCAACTGAAATTAATCCTCTAAAAAAATAATAATAATGCCACGAAACAATTTTTTAGCGTCTGCTTAACAAATCAAGGGATTATAAATTCAAAACTGTTGCTTTGAAATTGTAGGCCATTTTTCCAGAGCGCTCACCATGGGTGCATGTGAAGAACTTGATGGAATATCATGAAATATTAAGTGTATACCTATGTTTCTTGCTTCCCTTCAGGTAGAAGTTGATTGGTCTCTGCCTTTTTTTTATCAGATCTCACATGAATAAACCTTTTTTTTTTTCGGGAAGTACGTGTCAATAAACCTTAATTAGTTACAGTATCATATGTACTTTTGGGTTAGTAGAGGAAAACTGCAAATTTAACAAAGTTAATCCACTCAAACATGTAGCAGCTACTACTATGAGTAACAGCTAGCTCTATTGTTCTAGTCCATTTGGTCTTTAAACAAGAGATTGTTCTCCTCCAATGATACATTAATTGGGAAAAGAAATATGACTATCTACTAATTGTTTTTTTTGTGCGGTGGTATTTTGTGATTAAGACCTTTGTTTCAGACATTGTAGCCTCAGTTAATTTTACTAATAACATTTCTATGCACTTGAACAACCGTCGTCAATTTTTGTTTCTACGAAAGAACTGAATTGGTGGAAATAGAAAATGTCGGTGTACACATGACAGATTTTTCACTATATACAGAATTGCAATGTTGCCCTGGGTAGACAATATCGAAAGCTTAGAATTGCCCACCTGCCTATTATCAGTTTTGTCCTCATCCAAAAGGGCAGTAGATGTACGAATATGTGCCGTGTTTTTAAGTTTGTTAAAATTTATTCAATCTATATTTGACCCATTTATAATCATGTCCTGTTGGGATACAAGTCAGATTTAACAGTAAGTATCGATCTATTCTTCAAACAAATCAATTCGTGAATACTGAACTCGTACCAATTACCTCGTTGAGAGTTTGTGTTAATTTGATGGATCTAGCAAAGAATGACCAGCCAGGGAGTGGCCGACCGAGTGGGGGCAAGCAAACAATTATTGTGTAGTCCTTGACCCCAAAAGTCAAGTGCAGCACAATAATGGCCATTCATTTCTCATCCTGATAAATCTTCAACAATAATGGCGTTTCACTCAAGCTCATTGGTGACCTGCCAAGCACATAAATTTAGCAAAACTCCCAAAAAAACAGTGAGAGAGATAAGAATGGAACCCAAGAGGATGTGCCTTTACATCTCCATAGCTGTTGTACTAATTGTGCTCAGCACAAATATTCAAACAGCTGATTGTTCAGAGATCAAAAAAGGAAGCTCTTGGTGCAATGGAACCATCACAGACTGCATTGAAGAAGACGACCAAGAGTTCCTAATGGAGTCTGAAGTGAGCAGAAGGATTCTTCAAACCACCAACAAACTCACTGTCAAATCTCTCAAGCCAGGATCAGCTGTATGTGATCCAGATCGGTATGGCAATTGCATAGTTCAGATCAACCAATACAATAGACCTTGTACATCGAAAATCGATGCAAACGCGGTCCCCAGCCATGATCATAACGAAGGAGAGATACCTGTGCTGTAATTAAATCTCTCAGACGAAACAATAATCTTGCTATGTGGTTTCTTTTTCATCCTTTTTTTTTTTTTTTTATCTGTAACCTTGTTATGATTGTAGTTAATGTAAAATTCTCCCTCTATCTACATGAATCCCTATAATTTGATGCCATTTTTGCTAAACAATTAGCTAACTCATTTCCACTCCTACGAATCCAAGACACACACAAGCTACTAAAGCCACTGACATATCCGTTGATTTGCTCTCCCAGAATCCAATCTCTGAACAGTAGTCCTTTCTGTGGTAAGATAACACCTGTAGATTGTCATACTGCCACAGCAAAAGGACATTGTAAGAAGAGGTGGTCAAGGGAGATTCAACAGAGCCATCACATAAGAGACACTCAATATCTACAATAATTCTCCTTTAGTGAAAATTGCATCGAGTAGGAAGGATATTATTGTTAACCCTCCATGCAAAAATTTTAATTTAATTGGAAATCTTCAAGAGCCACATAAATTCACCAGGCCACTTCCCATTAGTTCTACTAGGCCCCCTCCTCTGTTTAGATCACGAAGTAAAACTTGACCCATAATCAAGTGGTATTAGGGGTGTCCATTGTACGGGTTGGGCCATGAGACCCGTTACTTGACCTGAAAAAATAAGTCCAAAACCCATAGACTTAATAGTTGGTCCATCTATCCAACCCCGAGCCCAATATCTTTCCGGGGAAGGCTTGGGCTGCCCCTCAAATCCATTACCCAACACCGAACTCGGTCCATTAGCTTATTTTAGTTTTTAAAAGAGTTTTTTAAGTGTGGGTACAATTTTCAATAATTATTTGAGCAAAAGTGTATGAGTAAATAGTTTATTCTATTAAATATAATTTTTATAATACTTTTTATGTTTAGGTACAAAATTCAAATGAATTAAAATCCTTTTTACTTAAACGCTCATCCTTATTTTATGCAGTCATGATTGACAGTTATTTTAGGAAACGAATATATAAACATTACATATTTGTTGTCTTTTTGCTTTTGAATTTTGAATGAGCAGTTTTGTGCAAGATTTATGCATCTATTGACAGTTATTTTAGGAAACAGATATGTATTCTTTACATATTTGTTATCTTTATTTTTTTGAATCAAACGTATTTATTCAACTGATAAGTCTTCTTCAACGTGTTCAACTAATAAGTCTTATTCAGAATAAGTCTTCTTCAACGGCAATTTATTTCTCTGGTAGTGGTTTTCTTTGAAAAAGGAATTGCAAATACCAATCGCAACATCGGATTGAAGGTGAGTTGTTTATAATTATATTTCTTCTTTTTTGGTCATTTTTTTTGGAAAATTTCTATGTTCTATTTTTGTTTTATGTTCGTTTTTTGTTGGAATGGAGGAAAAAAAACTGTTTCAATCTTAATGGGTGTAACTGTTTCTTATGGGTGTAAATATTTTTAGTATAGACAAAATAAATACATTTCCTCTACAATTCGATTATTTTTTTTGGGGAAATTCGCATGTTCGTTTTTGTGTATATTTGGTCATTGTCGGAATGAATGGGAAAAAAAAACTGCTTTGGGTTTAATGGATGTAACTGTTTTTAAAATTGGTGTAACTATTTTTGGGTATTGACATTAATATATGTTTTCGAAAAAATGTTAATATGTCATTGTTTGTTAGTTGTTTTATTTTATTCTTAGATTATTAATTAAAGATTGTTATATGTTATTCATTTTTTGGGATGAACGGGGAAAAATTTGTTTTGGTTTTTAATGGGTCTAAATGTTTTTTAATTAGAGTTATGATTTAATGTAAATGCTATTGTGTGCAATTTTTCAGCCAATATCTATTTTGGAAGATCCTGTATATCTGTAAATTTTTTTTGTTTTATGTTTTTCTCCCAATACGTAGATAATTAATTAATTGATCTGTATTAATGTTTTTACAGCCCCAAGAGCTTGTAGATACAAAGAGCTCAAGTTAGCCACCAAAGACATTTGGCACTGTTTACGGATCATTTGCAACTGTTTACTAAGACTTTTTCATATAATTAGGAACTGTTACTGCAGTGAAAAGATCAAAGCATTCTCATGAATGTAAAACTGAATTCTTAGATGAATTGTCTAATATTGCTTGTTTGAGGCACAAATATTTATTTCAGCACCAATGTTGGTGTGTTGAAAATGGGTGAATTGCTACTTGTGTTTGAGCCTTGATAAGATACTATACCCAAAAACTGAATTGGGTAACCCATTGAAATGGCCATATAAATACCATGTTAGAATTGGTTTTGCCTCTGTTTTGACTTACCTCCATTAAGAATGTGAACAACAATTAATCCATAGAGACAAAAACACCATTAACAATATGCTTGATTCAGTAACAGATATTCAAGACAGTTACAACACAAATAAGATACAACTATTTAGCAGTTAATCAATAAAGTTACCGATAACAAATAAAAAAATTGAATCCTTAAAATCATAAAAATAGTTACACAACACAGTTAAACCCATTAAATTTTGAATATGAATTGTCTATATTTGAATCTCAAATAGTTACTTAAAATAATTGTGTAACTATTTTTAATCAAAAAAAAATCATGATCTATAAAGTTGCTAATAACAGATTTATAAAAATTGAATCCTTAAAATCAAAAGTATAGTTATGCTACACAGTTAGACCCAATAAAATTTTGAATTTGAATCCCAAATAGTTAATTAAAACAGTTACGTAACTATTTTTAATCAAAAAAATTATGAACCATAAAGTTGCCAAAAACAGACTTGTAAGAATTGAATCTTTAAAATCAGAAGAATAGTTACACAACACAGCTAAACCTATTAAATTTTGAATAAAAAATATATTTGAATTCCAAATAGTTACTTAAAACAGTTACGTAACTATTTTTAAGCAAAAAAATCATGTTCCAAATTGTTTTTTTCATTTACATATGCTATAATAGATTTGCAAATTCTTAATTCAATTTCACAAAATTAGGGCTTTATGATTTGGTTTTATTTTTGAATCAACTTACATAGGTTTTTGAAAAAAAAAATACAAAATAATCAATGAATGAAAAAAAATAAAAAAACAGAATGCCACCTCAAATTTCCGGTGAAGAAGTTGCCGGAGACGCTAAACAGGTTCTGCAAGATGTCGGTGACGATGAATAGTCAGATTTTGGAACTATCGTAGTACTCCTTTTGTTGTGGAATATTCAATAGTTAAAATAGAAATAATAAACATTTATGTCATTCTATGGATATCTCATTGTCATGGAATCAGGATGCCTAAGAATAAGGGTTTTGATAATTAAATCCCCTTTTTCACCTCCCATTAACTGATTCTAGCCATAATATACGGAGGAATAAAAATGGGTTCTACGTTTCCATTGTTTACCGAATGGCAATACTAGTATTTTTAAAAAATATGCACTTTACCCCAAATAAAATTTTGAGTTATTTTTTTGCTCAAATAAGTCTAAAAAATTGTACCGACTTCTAAATTCCCATTTTTAAAAAAACTAACCATTGAAAGTTAGGTGAAATATTCCTTTAAAAAAAAGAATTATTTACATAAATATTAAGTTGAGTAATTTAGGGTATTATTTATTATTCAATATTCATTATTTACTTAAATACTAAATAATTCATCTCAAATAAAATTATTTATTTTGTCCATTTTAACTCTACTTTTAATTTAAAAATGTAATTTACAAAATATTAAGTTGGAAACTTTTTTAATGAAGATGTATATATATATATATATAAAAGGTTCACCCAATGAGTGGCGGGTTAAGTTGCAGGTAGCCTATCTCTACTCGAAGCTTGACCCGCTCCACACGATAACTCACATGAGTAAAGGATTGGGTCTATCCTACTCAGGCCTAACTCGAAAAAATTTTCATGAGCCTAGCCCGGACCATGGACACCCCTAAGTGATATGCACTTTTTAGAGGGAGTCAAATGAAGCAGCTCACGAGATGGGAACTTGCACTCAGGCACGAAGGAGACCTCCCTGATCACCAGCTTCCAAACCTAGTAAATGAAGCGGTGATCAAGGAGAATCCTATTTAATTAGATTATTTTTAGCTTGTGTTAGTTTAATTTACTTACTATCATTTAACATGTACTTCACCTTTTACTAGCAAAAAAAAAAAAAACAAATCGATCATTGGGTAGTTGAGCATAGATTGGGATAACAACAATTTGTGCAACTTTAAATGGATGAAAAAGCTCATTTAGAAGGTCCAAATTCCAACACATCTGCTCATGACCAGAGAACAAACCACCCTTTCCTCATCCATGCTTGGTATTGAACTTGTGACTTTGAAAGTATGCGGTCTGGGTATCCATCTACCTAGGGATGACAGTCGACCGAAGCGAGGGCGGGGTGTAGTCTCCATCCCCGTACCTGCTTAAAAAAACTATGTTCATCCCCGAGAGTGGTCTACCCTCGTTAACGGGTTTAATTTTTATCATCACCTCCGTCCGCAGATAAATTTGTAATCCCCATCCCTGCCTTCATCCCCGTCCCCTTTCCTCGCACCCGCCCCAGCCCCAGCCCCAGCCCAAGCTCAAGCCAACATAATCCAAAATTCTAAATAATCCAACATAATTATAGAATATCATAAGATAATTAAAAGTTTGCCTACAACATAATCCAACATAATATAATTAAAACCTTGTATCGCATGTAAATCCAACACAACATCATGCAATACAACATAACATAATTCAACATAACACAAGGAACAAAGGTCTAAAATACTACTTGAATATTTGTACTGGAGAAATTTTTCTGCATGTAGTTTCACACCTATAATTTAATAAAACATAAAAAAAATATAATAATTGCATAAAAAATATTTTTATTTGCTAATAAAATTGATTGGTTGAATTGAAAGATTACCAATTCAATCATCTCTTAACACCATCGGTTGTGATAGAATATACTTCTTCAACATCATTTTCCTATATCATTAAAAGAAAAAAAAACTATTAGATTCTTCCAAAGGGAAAT